CGTTTTTAATCATTTTTTTCGAATATTCAATACCATGGTTATTAGTCATGCATCGAGTGGTGTTGGCTGATCACCTCATATTCGCGGGAGTGATACAGGGATATATCACAAAATTTACACCCAATTTCCTGGACGACCGTGCCGTAATAACTCGTTAAACTTAAATAAAATTGCATTATCTAGGTAGATGAATTCTTCAACACCTAAACGGAACACTATAGAGACATAATTGTAATAATAATTAATTGAAAACSTATCKTACAATCGTCAATATACAAATGAAGCAAAACAAAACAATATGAATAGTGGAACATTTTTGTATCAATGCAGAACCATAAACATTTATTTATTGCAATTCGTCGTTTTTAAATTATAGATATAATAATCTCTGTATAACATTTTATCGTAGTTTTTCGACCTAAGCAGGCGGCCGATTACCAAAAATTTATCGAAGCTTCTTCCAATCGATTCTAAAAGTATTACAATATATTTTTATCTAGSTCATACGAAGGAAAGGACATCCAGCATAATATTATGCCTCCGGTAAATACTCCACTGAGTGTGCTCACGTCATCGATCGTCGCTAAGAATTTAATAAGACAAAACTATAATAATAATAATTGATCGTACATTGGTATGATATTATTATTATCATTTTAACGCCCTACCTGTTGTACACAATAATATTACATAGGCGCGTTACGATATTGTATAGTATACGATGCCGACAATAATTATTGTACATTATGTTATTGTATGGGCACACACTATACTTCTTGATATAACATTAGAACAATAATAATACGTATCATACATACTGTATTACTGTATGGTAACAATACACCGCAGTAATTGTTTTTACAATGCATCGACACCGTCGACGACAATGATTTTTCAGAATAGCATAATAAATAATGAAATTATTATAACAATAACATAATACTTGGATTGTTCGTTATCGTATAACAGTTATAATTACACCGATTATAATATTTTAATAATATATTCTATAATAGCTGATACTCTCGATTTTTTCCGCTACTATTATTACGCCGTTACACAATTCATAATTATTACTAGGTATAAGAGAGGACGCCACTTGGGAATTTGTTGTCTCCGTCTCATAAACGTACACCCAAGCAAATTTTAAGTTCGCAATAATATATCTTATTCTATAATTTCTAAAATTTACCTCTTAAAAAGCTTAAAGACAAACATATTGTTATCTGGAGCATCTCGGATGATTGTATTGGTATTATTATTTTTGAGAATCTCTGGATAATATTATTATTGCTTTTAAATTTTATAAGAAAGAAGTAAATTTACTTTAATTTTAGAAATTACCGAGTAAAATGTATTATAGTGAACTCAAAATTTGTCATGTTGTACGTTTGTAAGATAGAGACAATAATTAATGCCCATGTGGCCATGTGATGTCCTATTGAATGCTAACAACAATTTATTCATATCATCATTATTGTTGTTGTTTTATGGTAAGATTTTTGGTTTTTTTTTTTTACGGTATTCGTGAATGAATCTGCTCGATGTCCATAAGTAAAATATTTTTTATTTATAATTATTATTTTGTCATTTTTACCGTACATCCATAGGGGCATACAACATACACATCTTTATCTGAACACGAGATCGTTGGCGCGGTGTGTTTTTGACAACGATGGGTAGCGTGATGGGTACTTATTAAATTATACAACTACTAACCCATGTACAACGTATGTAGAGTGGTTCTGAGTTACCACGACCGGCCGACAAATTGGCTCGTTTTCGTTTTCTACGCATCGTCGAGTTCAAACGATCGATAATAATAATAATTTACGCCYTATATATATTAAATGCGTGCATGTCGTCGGCATAATAGGTTTGTTTTCCCAGCGCGTGAATTGAGAAACCGATTAAATAGATAAAAATAATTAATTACTCGGTGGAGCGAAAAAAAACCAATTTTCACAAGGTTATGAGCGAGAAGAGAAAAAAACGTAGACGAAGGCAAAAGTCGATCAGCGTATCACGATAATTGTTTTAATGTACGTTGTACGTACACAGACGTTTTATGCCAATCGTGTATATAATTTAGCAATTATAATTATTAATATTAGACTATTAAACGGATACACATTATCGTCAATATTGGCGTCGAAATAACGGCAAGGCAATATGACTAATAATATATAATTTCATAATATATAACTATATAAGTGCAAGTGAAATATTTTTTAACGGATAAAGGCCTAARTTTTTAAATTTTATTTTATATCGCAAGTATTATTCACGATATTAGCTCCGATCTAAGTCCTTTTCAGCGTCCATGTATTATCAAATATTATATTGTAACTGTATATGCACCTAAAAATGAACGGGACGATATTATATATTCGTATATTACAATATCGATTTATTAATATGAGTTAGTTGTCAAAATATTTTTTGTACAATAACGTATAAAATGTCTAGACTTTGCAATGATATAAACAYTCTGTGTTGAACTGTTGAAATATTCAACTACTGATTTTCACGGTTTGTTTAAGCCTTGGGGGGCACTGGGGCACATATACTGAACGATTCTCTCGATAGATTCTGATAATAATTAAATTGATAATGGGGTGGCATGAAATCTGCGCCTGTCGCCTAGTACTATGTATATTGTAYATAATTATATATAAATATATAATGTATTGGTAGTGTACTGCTATAATAGTGCTAAGCAGTCACGTGTTTGTATTTTAGCATGTCTCGCGGTCGATGTGATAATTATGATGTCGAAATTATGTCAAACTAAAACGCAAAACGCAAAAATGCAAGCGTGAGTATAAATTGTCGTCCGAAATCGGTATCACGACATTTATTTTCAGTGATAACAGTTTAATATTATAGACTCATATTATTGTAAGAGTTTAAAACGGTGGCAGCGGAAAAATTGACGAAGGAGTCGAGTTGGCGACGCGGTAATGGTATAATAAAAGCCGAAGCAATTTCCAACGCTTATGCAGTTGATGAGTGGCGATTATGATGTCGAAAACAAACAAATCATATTTTTTTAAAACCGACGAGGTGTTTGCCGTTCGAAGCACAATTAGTTCTCTCATTCGAGTGTCCGAATAAATGCGATAGACAGGCAATGAAAACGGCAGTGGCAGCTATTGATCCTACACGAGTATTGCAAACTAAGTATAATAATATGTTATAATTATTTAAGGACTGAGATATAATATAAATAAAGCCATAGAKTTACTATTATACTCCTTGTAGACTACAGTGATAGCGTAATATATAGTAGTTATATAATAATAACTATCTTAAGTAAAGTAAATTGTGGTTGTGGCTGAGGAGAAGATTACGTTTGTGCCGAGTACATCGTGCTCGCGTGCAGTATGCACACGACACGACACACGGTATAATGTCGCAATAATGATAGTGAATATTGAACATGAACAATAACAATATTGTAATGATGATAATAATAATAATAATAATATCGGTGTC